TGCAACTTTATTATCAGTTTTTACTTCATGCATTCCATAGTCTTCGTTTATTGCTTCATTATCTTCATTATTATTCTTTATATTATTAAATAAATATATATAGGTTCATTATCATAAAATTTTTTTTTATTTGTAATTAGAAAATGAAATCTTCTATATAATATTTACCATTTCTTGATAATGTTTCAAATATATGGCGTGGGTACCTTAAATAATGTTGACGGTGTTTATAGGAAACAAAACGATTGCGAAACATTATGAAAATAAAGCAGAACGAAGAATGTTTTTCACGAAGAATGTTTACAAATGATTATATGATTTATATTATCAATACAAAAGAAAATCATAAAGTTTATTGAAAACAATAGTAAAAAATTTATTACTTTACAAATAAATTAATTTTACTTATTAATACATTAATAAATTTATATAACGATTGCTTCTTTTATAAAAGTTTTCACGGTTATCAAAGTTAAATTAGTCTGCTGCGCTATATTAAATAAAAAAAATCTCATATATATATATTAAAATGGCTTCATTTTATTTATTTGATATATGAAAATTGATATATATTAAAAATAAATGTTTAATATTAATATATTAAATAAAGGTTCGTGACATTTTGCTAACCAAATTTAGTAATAAATAAAGTCTCTAAACTGATGTTCATATGCAAGTTTACTGCGAATATATTTGACATCATATCCAGTCTATATATAAAAATCTATTGTAAAAAAAGACAATCAAATATACTAGTCTAAGAATAGTATCGTTCAACCAAATTTGGTAATATTAATAGGAATAAACTTTTATAAAGTATAATTTATATAAATAAGAGTAACAAAAAAAAATTATTTCGATTCTTGACTTTTCTTATTCACAATAATAATGAGAGCAAAAAGAACTTTGACAGTTGGTCTTAATGAACTTCCGAATAATACCAACGATTCATCAAACTAAAAATACTCGTCCCAAAAGAACATATAAAAAATGGCAAACGTTAGATCCTCCTTCTAATGATCCCTCAGACGGTCTTAATGAACTTCCGAATAATACTAACGATTCATTAAAAAAAATACTCGTCCCAAAAGAACATATAAAAAACGACAAACGTTAGATTCTCCTTCTAATGATCCCTCAGACGGTCTTAATGAACTTCTGAATAATACCAACGATTCATCAAACAAAAATACTCGTCTCAAAAGAACATATAAAAATGGTAAACGTTAGATCCTCCTTCTAATGAAGCTCCAAATGACAGTGATGGCAAGTGACCTGAAATGACCCAAATGACTTTGATGACTGGTCACTAGTCATTAAGTCACTTTAAAAGCT